GACAACCCTTCGAAATAAATCGTGAGCACATCACTTCGCGCAACTTGGCCATTCCCGTGCACGTGTCCTCGATTGGTACCTAATACAAGCGACCGTCAAAGTTATTCTGAACGGTTTGCTGTTCTAAAAACCGCGTAACTGTGATGCTAAATAACTTTCCTCGATCACTTGAAATTCCAAAACGTCTAACCCCGAAGGTACAACGGTCAGATACGATATAGGGCCTATCGTTTGAAGTGATCAGAAAGGCCGAAAATCGGCACCTTGACAAGGTGTTTCAAGGCGATACTATACTTTCTAATCAAGCATATCGCACGTATTTATGCTTTCTACGGTACGGGAAAAGTTAAATCAGAATACCATGTACACTAATTTAAATATACTGAACCTATAAATTTGTTGGATGCGTAGTTTGAACGAGTTTATCAGATCGACTTACGGCGCCGTCAAATGTACGTGTGCGAGACCACCTATGTGTGACTCGCTTATTATCAGACTGTTTTCTCAACGTCAATGGGCCGGGTCATCCAATTAACTTGACCCCACTGTCCATTATTGTACAAGAATTATAACACCTTTTGCCACCTGAAGTTTGATAATTGACTTTACAACTTAGACAAAAGCATTAATTAACTCGCGGTCGTACAGCGCACGCTGATCTGTGACGGCCCTGATTATGTTTACGCAATCAGTGTCAGCCACAATACACACGTGAGCATGAGTAGACGGATCGTTTTCTGGGACAAAGATACAGAGTTGCCCAATTTAAAAAAACTTAGTAGTCAATTTAGTAGCCACATCAAATTTTTAGTAGCCAATAAAAAATAAAAGTAGCCAATGGCTACTTTGGCTACCGACAGCGTGAGCCCTGGCAATCGGACCGCTACAAATAGATGCAGTCAGGAAAAACCAAAATACATGAGAACTCCCCTATGACATCATCGATCGGTACCCCCCTCGTATATAGGTTGTCGCTATAAATAGATGCAGTCAGGAAAAACCCAAATACATGAGAATCCCCCCTGTGACGTCATCGATCGGTACCCCCCTGCCCAAGGGGGGTGCCAGGGAGGTGGTAAGGATTATATAGGGGAGTGCACCGGATGACCCTGCGCCAGAAACGGTACTTTTGTACTACTATTCGAAATTAAGTGAAAAGAAAGGTGATCAGCGTTAATATTGAAGAATAAGAATCTTTTATGAAATTTCGTTTTAAGGTAAATAATGCTGGCATGATGAGCAAATGCGACCAGAGCGTCTACACACTGACGGAGGCTGGCCTTGACAAAGAAATGGATGTGAACGTTAAGGCACCACTGTTCCTTTCAAGACTGGCAATACCACATCTGAAGGAAACAAAGGGTAGCGCTCTCGTTCCGTTTTATTTTCATTTTTAACGCGATCTGTCGAAAGGATATCCATGTGTATCAATGAATAATAATGTTGAAGTACCTTTATAAATACAGTTTCATATTGAAGGTCATACTTCTTATTGACAGGCAAATAGGCATGTTGCATAGGTAGCAGAGTACAGTAGAAATGGCTTGATCCTAAAAATGAAGGGCATAATGTGGATAGCGGATTCATCTTGCACAACACACCTACATATATATTTTATTTTTATAAACTACATTTTGAATACGTTTTTTTTTAGAAGAATGATTTTTTTTTCAAAAAGCAATTTCCCCAGATCTGGGACTTGTGAAAACCATGGTGACCACATAAAAAAAAGCCAAAAAATGCAAAAAACATGCTCCCAAAATTTGACCCACGCAAGAATTTTTTCTTTTCTTGAAACCTGTCTTAAATTTAATATCACCTATTCGGTAACAGAAATACTCACGTTTTAGCATAGGTCGTTCAACTGTATTTTTCACAATATTTACACGTGTGCTGAGTACAAAAAATAGACTACATGAAAAGCTAGCTTTTGTTGTGTACACACAGATTTGTGAATGGCCAAAAATGTAGTCTCAAACCAAATTCGATTTTTGTTTTTAAATATGAAGCCCACATAGTCCACTTCATCATGTATATGCCAATTTTAGTGCTGATTTTTGTTTTTTAGTTTGGATACATGTAATATTACAGGGGTTATTCATTGTATAAAAATATCACCCATGGCCACTGTATGCTACTGTACACTGCTACCATATTACTATAAGTCGAGAATTTCAGTTTTATCTATCGGTAAATATTAAAAATGAAAACACACTTAAAATGGATTGTACTTACTAATTTATTTGTAGGATGTATCGTCAATGTGTCAAGTATATATTCTAAAGAAATTGTAAGTATATTTGGTCTAATAAAAACTTAAGTTTGTAGAGTGCTCAACACCAAAGGTTTTGATTACATATGAACTTTCTCAAAAACGTAGGCTAGAAAAATTGAACATGCTACATAGGTAGCATTTGAACCAATTGCTGTATGTCTGCTAGGGGTATTGAACCAGTGTATTCTATAATGTAATGTTTTACAGAAGTACACATTTGTACATCTAAATGCGTCAGACGCTACCCGATAGGTCTGATCGTATGGCATTAAAGTGTCAACTGGTATACGCGCAAGTATAATACAGAAGTTAATAGTATGGTCTTGTCTTCATCTTCATATCACAATGTATGAATGACAAACAATTTATATTCATATAAATGACCTAAATTCCCCATGCACACACTCTTTTTGTCTTTACAGACAAATGATTGCATTGGATATCACATGACCAAAGCGGCAACGGACATGATGACCAAAGTTCTCGCTAAAGGTAAATATGATCAGGCAATTAAGGTGTAACAATAAATATATAAACTATCTAGTTTAGAACATTTCATTTTGCTATCGTCATCATATAAAAAACCATTTCAACCTATATGTTTTTATTCAATATGATAAAACATTTCGCTATCCCATTTACATGTTGTAGAGCTGGTGACATACGGAGTGCGTGTTAACTCTATCAAGTAAGTAGTCTCACGTGTATTGTTATACATACTCAAGGTTATTGTCACTCATACTCACGTGTATTGTTATACATAATCAAGGTTATTGTTATACATACTCACGTGTATTGTTATACATTTAAGTATCGAACTGCTTTCAGTTGGCATTCATAGGCAATATGACTTCCAACTGGACAAACGCAAATTCAATGAAGCGTGGTTGCGCTTCATGTTGGATTTGTCTTTGTCCAGTTGGAATTCATATTGCCTATAAAAACCAACTGAAAGCATTTCAATACTTATATTAACTGTCTACTCACGTGTATATATTTACATTTGCCCCCGCGCCGTCCCATTACAACAGTGTAAGAGGGCAAGTGTAATTATATAGGCTATAATTACAACTGCTCGACTATAATTACAACTGCCTGTTTCAGGTGTAGGAATATGTAAACAAACAAAATGGCCGCCTGAAATGTATTTTGAGGCAGGGCAAATGGTTTTTGTAGGAATATTTTTTGTTTAAATGTGTAACAATACACGGTGTATTTACGTAACCTTGTCCAGTGTATGTGTTCCTTTGTTCTTTTGATGTGTTATTTACGTAACTTTGTCCTGTGGGTGTGTTCCTGTGTTCTTGTGAGGTGTTATTTACGTAACCTTGTCCAGTGTATGTGTTCCTGTGTTCTTGTGAGGTGTCATTTACGTAACCTTGTCCAGTGTATGTGTTCCTGTGTTCTTGTGAGGTGTTATTTACGTAACTTTGTCCTGTGTGTGTGTTCCT